AAGATATTGGATGAAGGATAGAATAGAATAAGAAATCAAAATAGAATAGAAAAGAATAGAAAGTAGAGAATAGAACAGAATAGAATAGAAAATATGGAATGTAAATAGAATAGAATAGAATAGGAGAGAATAGAATAGGAGAGAATAGAATAGAATAGAATAGAATAGAATAGAATAGAATAAGATATTGGATGAAGAATAGAATAGAATAAGAAATCAAAATAGAATAGAAAAGAATAGAAAGTAGAGAATAGAATAGAATAGAATAGAATAGAATAGAATAGAAAATATGGAATGTAATTAGAATAGAATAGAATAGAATAGAATAGAATAGAATAGAATAGAATAGAACAGGGAATATGCTGTTTTGTTTGCGTTTGTACTGCTATTGTCTTTTTTGCAGTCTGTATTTTAATGTTTTGAATACAATTTAAAAATTGGGGAGGGAGGAAAATGAGGAAATGGTCACTGGGTTTTCCCAGCTGCTTAAAAGCAGCCGGGAGCCTGACTCACTTTGTGTTCCTGACATCCAGATGGTAGATGCTGCCATCCTGCGTCCCTCCCAGCAGATACGTGTTGGAGAGGAAAGTGCAACAGTTGAAAGCATCCGAACCGATAAAAAGAAAAACCTAAGGGAGGAAATGAGAGAAAAATGTGGTCTGAAATCCAGTCCCTTGTAGCACTGACGATGTTACCTAGTTGGGTCACGAAACGTCTGGAAGAAAACCACCATGTTCAGAGGGCACCAAGGATTCCACATTCTTCCTCCTCCTCCTCCTCCTCCTCCTTTCTCCCTCTCTCTCTCCTCCTCCTCCTCTTCCCTGCAAACCCCACTCCCTTCTAGCACTGATGATGTTACTTAGTTGGGTCACGAAACGTCTGGAAGAAAACCACCATGTTCAGAGGGCACCAAGGATTCCACATTCTTCCTCCTCCTCCTCCTCCTCCTCCTTTCTCCCTCTCTCTCTCCTCCTCCTCCTCTTCCCTGCAAACCCCACTCCCTTCTAGCACTGATGATGTTACCTAGTTGGGTCACGAAATGTCTGGAAGAAAACCACCGAGCTCAGAGGGCACCAAGGACTCCACGGTCTTCCTCCTCCTCCTCCCTTCAAGCACTGACAATGTTACCTAGCTGGGTCATGAAACGCCTGCACGAAAACCACCAGGCTCAGAGAGCCCCAAGGACCCCATCTTGCAACCCCAAAGGCGCAAATGTTCCCTTCTTACAAGTACAATTCTTCCACGGGAGACAAATCAAAAGTGAAATCAGTTCATCTGACAAAAGGCCGACGCAGATCGAAGGCAAAACTCAGCAGCTGAAGCTGCTTTGGAGCAAAAAATGCCCCTTTCGCCTTATTCTCCTTTGAGATCTGTCTCCTAATCCAAGACAACCAAGACGAAGGAAGAAAATTGACCATTTTACACCAAGTGGAGAAGGGATCTTACTGGCTGCCGGCTTTGTAAGCCCAGGCCTTGCAATTTTTTGTCCTCCCGAGCCAGGAGCAGCAGCTTCCCTTCCGTGCCAATTTCGCGCTCGCCTGTAGTGGAAAGAGAGAGAGAGAGAGAGAGAGTTTGGTCTCATGCGGGGAATGGCGACCTTGGCCACTTTAAGACGTCTGGAGTTCAACTCCCAGAATTCCCCAGCCAGCCGGCATGCCTTAGAGTTTCCAGAGCCCTGCAAGGTTAAAAGCCAGGCACCCGGGAGTTCTAGTCCTGGGAGTTCTAGTTCTGGTTGAAGTCCACAAATGTAAAAACATTGCCAAGTTTGGAGACCTCTGGATCTAGTGGTTAAGGCACGAGGCTAGAAGTCAGGCACCTGGGAGTTCTAGTCCTGGGAGTTCTAGTTCTAGTTGGAAGTCCACAACTCTTAAAGTTGCCAGGTTTGGAGACCCCTGGTATAGTGGTTAAGGCACGAAGCTAGAAGCCAGGCAACTGGGAGTTCTAGTTCTAGTTGAGGTCCACAAGTCTTCAAGTTGCCA